ATTCCAATAGGAAGTGACCTGATTTACAACCGGTGGATTAATGAGTGAATTGAAGCTTATTTTAATCTGGAAAAGATTGGTTTTTAAACGTATCAATATGAATGTCCAAGTCTGCCTTTTGAGGAAAAAGAGCAGGCGTTTAAATGTGATTTAAATGAAAAAAAATGTCTTGCTGTTTTTGGAAACGCAAATGAATGCAGGGACAAGGTACAATCTAATTTTCCTGAGCTCCAGAAGCCCAGTTCCATTTTCCCTATTTTCTTTGTCTAATAGAGCAGGGGCAGGGGTGAAATCCAGCAGGTTCTGACAGGTTCTGGAGAACCGGTAGCAGAAATTTTGAGCAGTTTGGAGAACCGGCAAATGCCACCTCTGGCTGGCCCCAGAGTGGGGTGGGAATGGAGATTTTGCAGTATCTTTCCCCTGGAGTGGGGTGGGAATGGAGATTTTGCAGTATCCTTCCCCCTGGAGTGGGGACGGAATGGAGTTTTGCAGTATCCTTTCCCTGAAGTGGTGACAGAATGGAGATTTTACAGTATCCTTCCCTGGAGTGGAGAGGAATGGGGATTTTGCAGTATCCTTTCCCTGGAGTGGGGAGGGAATGGAGATTTTACAGTATCCTTCCCCTGGAGTGGGGAGGGAATGGAGATTTTGCAGTATCCTTCCCCTGGAGTGGAGAGGAATGGGGATTTTGCAGTATCCTTTCCCTGGAGTGGGGAGGGAATGGAGATTTTACAGTATCCTTCCCCTGGAGTGGGGAGGGAATGGAGATTTTGCAGTATCCTTTCCCTGAAGTGGGGTGGGAATGGAGATTTTGCAGTATCTTCCCCCTGGAGTGGGGAAGAAATGGAGATTTTGCAGTATCCTTCCCCTGGAGTGGGGAGGGAATGGAGATTTTGCAGTATCCTTCCCCTGGAGTGGGGAGGGAATGGAGATTTTGCAGTATCCTTTCCCTGAGTGGAGAGGGAGAGGGAATGGGGATTTTTGTAGTATCCTTCCCCTGGAGTGGGGAGAGGATGGAGATTTTGCAATATCCTTCCCCCAGGAGTAGGGTTGGAATTGAAATTTTGCAGTATCCTTCCCCTGCCACGCCCACCAAGCGACACCACGCCCACCAAGCCACGCCCACAGAACTGGTAGTAAAAAATTTTTGATTTCACCACTGATTCTCTCCCTCTGTTTATGCAGCCCAGAACTGTGTTGGCTTTTTTGGCAGCTGCTCCACACTGCTGGCTCATATCTAAATGGTTGTCCACTAGGACTCCAAGATCCCTCTCACAGTTACTACTATTGAGCCAGGTACCACATATAATTGTACCTGCGCATTTTGTTTCTCTTGCCTAAATGTAGAACCTTACTGTCAAAAGCAAATGCCCTTCCATCAAATGGAGTGCAAATGTACAGAATGGATAGGAAAATGTACGGGATTTTTTTTTAAAAAAATCCAAACTAAATCAGGTGGGTTTAACGCATAGTCTTCACAAGCACCTTCACTCGGTAGTGGGTTTCGCTTACTTTGCTACTGGTTCAGAACTGTGGGCATGCACGGCGCTTGTTGTGGCCCGCCAGTGGCCTGCGCGGATCGTGGCGGATCCCGACGACAAGGAGGCTGGTGTGGGGTCACGCCAGCAGCCTGCACAGCCGGGGCTCGCATCGGACAGCGAGGAGGCTGAAGAAGATGTGGTGCCAGAGGCAGAGACTCAGCCGGGCCTTCAGAACCTCCAGAGGCTCCTTCAAGTGGAGAGAGCGAAGTGGAGGAGCCTCTCCTCAATGCTCGAGCACACAGGGCTGCCAAAAGGCAGGAGTGGCTACTCAGGAGGAGGAGGTCTCCTCAAGAGTAAGGTTTGAGGATAATTAGCCACTCCCTTAACCTATTTAAGTCGCACTCAGTTAGTAATTTCTTGCTGGAAACAACATCTCACTACTACAGGGCATCTTGGAGAGCGAGCAACTTCTCATATCTGGTTTTCTGGGCTGATTGCCAACCTTTGTCGGACTTTGTTCTTAATAACTTTGATAAGGACCCTTTGCACGGGAAGCCTGCATTCTTGAAAGGGGCTTGTTTGGAATTAAACAGTGTTTGAGAAGCTTGGTGTGTGTCACATTCTCTGGGAATCCGAAGCTGGGGCAGAACAGCGCTTCTGAACCTTCTGTGTATGTGCAGAGCATCCGTGCTGATGTCCGGGTGGGTGGGCGGACCTTCCCACTGGCACCACTACCACCACTGCCTTCACTGTAACACTACAGGTCTACTTTTCCCTGCAATTAGACAGCCGATGCCACTGCAGTTCCCATGTTCCTGTGCCAATGATTCCCCTGCCCTCTTTGTTCTCCCCCGTAAAAAATGAATCATTAAAAAATTTACAAGAGCATCATAATTCTACCCTAGCCAACCCAGTTTGGCTTTGTGGTTTTAATTTCCTTAGATTGCAAGGGACAGCTGCATCTAATAAATCAAATCTCATAAAATAAGTTGCCAAGCATCCTTTATATTGTCTGCCAGGCTGAGATACCAACATTTTAGGATAGCCGTGAGGATTACCTGAATAATACTTTGTGTAACCCCCCTCCTTTCCTCCTTTCTCCTGCTCAGTTGTATCGATTTTCACAGCTGCTGTGATAATACTTTACTCATTTAGAGTATCTTTCATTTGGCTTTTCTTTCAAGAAAAACACAATTACAACCAAAAAAAAAAAAAAACCTGGAATAAAATATGGAACAAAACTGGCACCGTTTTAAAGAAGCAGTCATGCCGACCAATTAGATAAAAAGTAAACAGTTATCAAGGCAACAGATAAAATCACCAAAAATGCTCCATTAATAGATAAGAGCTCAGTGAAGACGTACTACGGGGAGGGAAGAGGGAAGCTGTTTGATTTTTGGGAAAGATTATTCCTGAAAATGAAGATTATTCCTGAAAACCAGAAGAAAAGAATGCCTTGCTCTTGGACCCACAGATGAGTGACTATCAGGATAGTGTTTTGGTTTGTAGGGCAGCTACTCCAGAGCTAAAAGACTGTGTAATCCTAGAGTAAAATACAGCAGTGGCCAAAATTGTGGAAACCTTTTGGGAAAAGTGTATTTTCTAAAACTAGCTAATAACACCACTTTTTTGGGGGGGGGGAGTAGTACCATAAAATTATATATCAATGGAAAGATAATTTAATCAAGAATGTCATGCAATAACTTTTATGAAGGATTTGCTATTAGAGTGGCAGTTACAGTATAAAGAGGAAAAGTGAAACATGTAGAAAAAACGACATACACAAAAATGATCACCATAAGAAAAAACGAGATATATCAAAATTATCACCATGTCAGTTAACACTTAGTGGGTAACGTTTAGCATGAATTATGGCCTTACAACATCTTCCCATGTCTTTGACCAAGAACCAAGTCTTTGAGTTTTGCAGCTGTTAGAATGTGAAACCAAGATGAAATGATGGCTTCTATTAACTGGGTTTTATTGCTGGGTCGCTTCTGACTAACCAGTTTCTTTAGTCGGCTCCATAGATTTTCAATTGGGTTAAGGTCTGGGCTATTCTCAACCCATTCCAGCAGTGGAATAGAATTATCTTGAAACTCCCCCCCCCCAAAAAAGTGTTATTAGCCATCAAACCTCAAAAATACACTTTCCCCAAAAGGTTTCCACAATTTTGGTCACTACTGTAGACAGTTCCTTATAAACCTGAACTTGGCTCTTCAGAATCATACAGACAATACCTTGAAGCTGTCTTATTAGTATACTTTGCTATTAAACATTGCTTTAAACATTTGGTCAGACCATGCATCGTTGATGCTTTGAGCAGACTGTACCCCTTCTGTATTGCTCTACATCAAGGGATGATCCGATAGCAATCTTGGCCTGTGGTTCAGCGATCTGGTAGTGTGATGGCAGAGTGAAGCTCCGCCCACCCGCCTGGGTGTCATTACTTCCTGTGTTTTTTTACCTTCTGCGCAAGTGCAGAACAGTGACCAGTGGTGGGTTCCTCCCGGTTCGGTCCGGTTCGGCCGAACCGGTAGCGGTGACGATATGACATCCCTGAACCGGTTCTCTTTGTTCGGGAGCTGGGCCCTTCCACCCACCCCCCATTATTCTTACCTTTTATTTGGCCCCACCCCCAATCTATTGCTGCCTCCTGAGTCCCAGCTAATCGGCTAGAAGGAAAAAAACTGTTTAAACTCTTGCCGCAGGGCTTCAAAGGGCCGCCCTACAGCTGATCAGGGTTAAAAGGCAGTGTGGTGGTAGACCAGTGCCTCCCAAAACAAATGAGTAGACCGATGCCTCCAAAAACGAATGGGTAGACCGGTGCCTCCAAAAACAAATGAATAGACCAGTGCCTCCAAAAACGAATGAGTAGACCGGTGCTTCCAAAAACGAATGGGTAGACCAGTGCCTCCAAAAAGAAATGGGTAGACCGGTGCCTCCAAAAACAAATGGGTAGACCGGTGCCTCCAAAAACGAATGAGTAGACCGGTGCCTCCAAAAACAAATGAATAGACCAGTGCCTCCAAAAACGAATGAGTAGACCGGTGCTTCCAAAAACGAATGGGTAGACCGGTGCCCTCCAAAAACAAATGAGTAGACCGGTGCTTCCAAAAACAAATGGGTAGACCGGTGCCTCCAAAAACGAATGAGTAGACCGGTGCCTCCAAAAACAAATGAGTAGACCAGTGCCTCCAAAAACAAATGGGTAGACCGGTACAGCTCTGCAAGCAGTTAAAAGCCTGGTAGACCAGTACCTCTGCTAAATCCTAAAGAATTGTCACATGACCACCAAACCACGCCCACAAAATAAGCCACGCCCACAGAACCAGTAGTAAAAAAAATTTAGAACCCACCTCTGCGTGTGACCTGCACATGTGTCAAATGCACTTCCGAACCTGTAAGGAAGGTAAGTAGATTTCACCCCAGGCTCTACATATATCTCTAAATGTTTTTTTGCAGCTATGAATGCTAGGAAATCCAATCTGGGAGTCAAAAAAACAGAAGAATACTCACATTTTCTGACCGAAGCTTCTTTGCAGGACATCCTCCATCGATCGGGTGGAGCATGTAGTAAAGCCGAACTTTGCTTGCATGTTTCCGACTCTGTGGGAGGAAAAGCAAGGAGCCTTCTTTCAGTGAACTGAGCCTCTGCCAAGAGCATCAAAGCACATGTCTTGCATAATCCTTAGATTGCTATAAATTTCTTTTCTAAGGTTTGAGGGAGAGCTTAAATTCCCAGCCCGTTTTTCTGGGTAACAAACCTGGGTGACAAGCTCAAGAATGTGATTTTTTTTGCATATTTACAAAGTGATGTTCTGGTTAATGCAAAGACGAGCATCTTTCTGATGTGCTACGAAAGAGATAAATATCTGCGCCACTAATAAGATAGATCAGGGAAAGCAAAAAATTATTGGAGTACAATTAAGATATGGCTGGAAGAAATGATACAACAACATATTGATTTAAAACCAGAACTGTTCCTATTGGGTATCCTCCCAGAAAAAAATAGCAAAGAAAATATTTATTTGATTATACATGTAATAACAGCTGCAAGGATTGTTCATGCACAACACTGGAAAGCAAAGAAAATACCTTTGGAAGGAGAAGTAGTTAAAAAAAAATTAGATTGTGCAGAAATGAATAGATTGACTTTGATGATTAAAGCAAGAGAAGATTCGGAATACTTTAAGACATGGAATCAATTCTACTATTGGTTAGAAAAGAGATACAAATAAGTAAATTAATAGTTATGTATATAAATGCCACAATCAGAATATTTTGTAATCGACTTGATGAGAACGAAGACAGAAGAAATAATAAAAAGAAGAACGATTGGAGACAACACCGAGATGTCACACGGAAGGAATGACTGATGTATTAAATGTTTGTTTGTTTAAAAAAATAAAAAAAACTTTATAAAAAAAAAGATAGATCAGGGAAGTCCAACCTTGGCAACCTTAATGCCTGTGGACTTCAACTCCCAGAATTCCCCAGCCGGCAATGGGGACAATGGATGCCTCAGTTTGATGGCATTTGGCGTTACGAGGATCCTCAAAAACAGAACTTCCAAACAGTAGATAACAAGTCTCCTCAATCTGGTGCCTTCCACGTGTGTGAGATTTGCCCTGCTTGGCTGCTCTTAGGAAACTGGGTCACAGTAGATTGTAGAATGGGACAACTTGCCATAGCCAACTCACCGCAAGACAACTCGTTGTGGGACAATCTAACCATTCTATTTAATTATTTCAAGTAAATAAAAATAATTTTAATTTTTGCCATTCACATTTTATTCTGTCCCTCCTTTTGCATCCTGTTGTGGCTTGTCGGCTGCCGGCCCCTCCAGCAGCCGAATCAGAGATGGAGGAGGAGGAGTGGGAGTGAGGGTCAGCATCTAGGCAACCTGAGAGCTCCGAGGGGGAAGAGGGAATGGAGGTGGCAGAGAGAGAAACAGAGGCGGAGCATGGGCCGTCCGTCCGCCCTCAGATGGAGAGTCAACAGCCCCCAGATCTGGAGTGGCTGATGAGGAAGAGGAGGAACAGCTGGGTCCAGTGCCTGACGCACAGATGCACAGAAGGCAGAGGAGAGGAGAGCAGTGGAAATCTATGAGCCGGTCCTTGGGAAGGAAGAGCCACCTCTGCTAGCGAAGCACCACTCTAGCTCTGGGGATAAAAGGCAGAGGATGGAGAAGAATAGATGTGGCAGACAACTATTTATCTCCCTGCCGGACAGACTTGTTAGCCTGCGGTGAGAGAGAAACTCTTTGCCGGGGCTGCTGGCGCTCCTAATAAAAGAATCATTGAGTTAACTTCAGAGTGTTTGCATGTTTGGGGAGCTGGGTCAGAATATAGTCTTTCTTTAATGATTCTATTCCACCATTTCTTTGATAATGTAACTCTTGTCCTGCGGTGACTTGGCCGTGGCAAATTGTCCTAGACCCATTGCAGAAAACTGCCTTCCCTACTCCACGTTTGAGAAAAGTAGACAGCTGGACATAGAGACAAGAAAAGCTTAATTTTCTTGTTTGAATACCTATGAAAAACCGTCTGGTTTTCCTCACATGAACTCCGTGTCCAAAATAAATAAATAAATAAAAAATTCAAGTACGTATCCTGAGCAATTGTTACGGGGTTTTAGCTGCCACAGGAAAATCGTATCAAAGCCGCAGCAGGGCTTGGAATTTATTTATTTATTTATTTATTAGTTCGATTTATATGCCGCCCTTCTCCGGAGACTCAGGGCAGCTTACAATGCTTTTAAGCAATAGCCTTCATACTTTCGTATATACCTGCTTAGTAGGGCTTTCGGGGCCCCCCTAAGCGGTGTTCTCTTTTTTGTACAAAGTCTGCTTGTTGCCCCCACAAACCGGGTCCTCATTTTACCTACCTCGGAAGGATGGAAGGCTGAGTCAACCTTGACCAACTTAACATAGATATTCCGGGAGTATTTTTTTTTTTAAAAAAAAAGTTCCCAGAATTCTCAGCTAGTACGATATTTGGGACTCCTGGGAATCCCCATATTTAAGGGGGTGCCCGAATTAGCTTATCTTCTGAGCTTGCAAACTCAGAGGCAAAATAAATAAATAAATAAATAAATGAATTAATTAATTAATTAATTTCGGCTGGATGAGGACAGCCTTATTTCGCATCGTTCTGAAGAGGATAATCACCAATTTGTTAATTAACCATCAATGATGTATTTTGATTTTTTTTATTTCCCCCACCGTTTCGTTTCTCACCCTTGGGACTCCTGATGCTGTCAGTATACCATGTCCTCAACCCATTGCAGAAAACTGCCTTTTCTACTCCACGTTTGAGAAGAGTAGACAGCTGGACATAGAGACAAGAAAAGCTTAATTTTCTTGTTACAGCACTTTTTTCATTTCCAGATAGGGATTTGATCAAACCGAGATATTTGCAATCCTTTTACCTTTTAATATTCCTGCTGTTTATATATATTTATATATACCGGTATATATTTCTATTTCTATCCCTACCTTTCTTCCTAGCTTGCTGTGGTGCTCACCTGAAGTTTCTTGTGCCTTGTACAATATTTCAGATTGCAATCTGCAATGAATGTACTCCGTGCTTAAATAACAACAGTGAATAATAGCGGAGCAAAGCAAGTTTCCACAGCCTTCAGTCTCTTGCTTTGGGGGGCTTCGCAGTCTCTTTTGTTTAGTTTGATTTAATTGGAAGAGAAGGTTCTCTGAGACAGCCAAAACACAACCAGCAAGTAATTTTGCAAGGGAAGTGGTTCTGGATTGCCTGAAACTCAACTCCTGCATGTTAGCCATTTTGCATTTTGAAACAAGGTCATTCATTCCGAGTCCCACAGCATTCTGTACCACACTTCTGGGGTTGGCTGTGCCACTTATTAATTAACAGGCTTTAGTCCACGGCCCTCCATTTTCCTAGAGGTAAAAACCCAACTGCCTTATATTTTGGTCTAGTTTATCACTGCATTTTGATGCAAAGATGTTGCAAAAGCAGGGAGACGTTCGTGGTTTAGCTTGTGATATGAATTTGCCAGGAGTTCCAAAAAGAGTGGGCTAAAGAAACACCCTCTAAACGAAAAGGAACAGAAAACTATTTCCCCCTCCCATCTCCGTAATCCCACTTCCTCCCCCAATGTCCTTCCCCAGATGGCATGAGCCATACAAGATCTTTAAAGTGTTAGTTAAACTGTCACTTTATTCTAGGTCCGATCCCACCCGAAAATTTTCTTTTAGTTGGAGTTGCACTATTTTTTAACAGATGAAGGGAGGGAGGGAGGAGAGGGAGGGAGGAGAGGGAAGGGAGGAAAGACAGCAGGAAGGAAAGAAAGAAGGGAGGGAGGGAGGAAACAAGGGAGGGAGG